AGTAGTTTAATAAGCCAGAACTTTGGCTGGGGAAAAATCCGACACTTTATTGGTCTGGTATATACCGGAATGAGTGCTCCTTCTCGATGAGTTGGAGCTGAAACGTTACTGCACCCGCTGCGCGCAGGGAACCCCGGGCCCAGGCTGGGAGCCTGGCCATGGGCTGGAAGACAGAAGGTACTTACTGTCGCATTTCATCCCCTGGTGGATGAGCCCGTACAGCAGCGACCCGCAGTGGTCACAGAAGGTGGGGCTTCCATAGGTGTGGATTTTGAACTTGTGCTTGCTCCGGGGGTCCTGCAGGGAGAAGCAGCAAGGTTGCTCATTTCGGTCACAAAAGGTCACCTTTGTGGGCTAAGAGCCAAGGCCAGCACCCTTCCCCCGCCTCCCCATTCCCATGTCGAGGTTCCAAATGGAACCAGACTGGGATGAGGCCAAAAGAAGTCAATCTTAGTAAAGTGCTCAGATGGGCAAATCCATGAGGAGCGGTGCACACCTCTGTTTCTCAAGGCTCTGATGATCTCTCTCTATATAAAAGCCTAAGCGACGGTTATGACCGAACGAAAAGAACGACCGGTCAACCAGTCGCTATGACGTGCACTGACCAGCAGGGGGCAGGTGCTCAATGCAGGAGCCGCCCCCTGGTGGTCAGTGCGCTCCCACAGCCAACCTCTCGCGGTCCCTCCCCCTTGCCGGCCGGCCCCCAAAGGTGCTAAACCATTCGTAGACGACCTGCTTCTGGGTCGGGGTTTTGTATGTAGCAGAGCAGCGCCCTTGCTGTGATCTATTGAAAGTCAGCCCTCAACACAAGGGTTTGTCAAACTCCCGTCCTCTTCCTTCCCCGGGGGCCACCTGCCCATCCTGGTGGCGATGCTGTGGCGAGGGAAGGAGGAGGGGGGAAGGTGGGGAACCGTGTGAAGGCAGGGAATTGCGTGCTGGTGTAAGCACCACCCGCCTTGATAAACGTCAGCATTTCTCCCAATTTTTCGCTGTATACAGACAGTCCTCGGGTGACGCCGGACTTGATGTATGTCGTTCCGTGGTTACGTCGCCATCTCCCATTTATTTATTAAAAAAAAAAAGTTCTGTCATTTCGACGTATGTACATAAGTGCTTTATGTTTTTTATTATTTATTTACCACAAGTAAAGGTGAGGAATTGTTATCTTTCTTTTAAATTTTTTTTACTGTTTCACTTCATTACTGCTGTGTATGTGCTCCATGTGAGTGACGTAGGTGCTTATGGTGCTTATGTAGGTGGGTTCCAACTTCGGGCGAAAATCGTGTTACGTCACGCCATAGGAACGGATCTCTGACGTAACCCGAGGACCTACTGTACTTATTACCCTCATTCGACAGAGGTGATGGTGACCTTCAGGGTCACATGGCCAGTGCATGTCGGAGATCGGGTTTGACCGCATCTGTGTCTCTGACACTGATTCCCACCCCAGGGTTTTCAGAAATCCACCCAGAACGAGGCTCTGGTCTTAACGTCTTTTAAACAAACTTCTGCATTCACAACACAATTTTTTTTGGAAATGAGACCACCACCTGCTTTGTGAATAAACTTTCACTGGCACGCAGGCATGCTCAACCACTGACATGTTTTCTGTGGCTGCCGCCTCGACACAAACCCAGTGAATGACCTTGGAGAGGTCATGCCCCTTATTAATAAAGCAGAGAAAAGCCAGTCTGCCCAGGGGAGAGCCTGGAGCGAGGCGCAGCTTAGGGAACATCTAAGGGCTTTGCGACCTGAAGGTCCATAAGCAAATACGAGAGGAGATGATTGCGATTGTATTTTCCTTGGAAGTGAGCCAAGGTGCCCAGGCTTCCCTCACTTCAGTGACCTGGGCCTGGATGGGAAGGGAGAGGAACGCTCATAGCCCAGTCCTCCCGGGGGTCGGAGTGGACGCCAAGGTGGCAAGCAGCCAGGGGACTTCCTCCAGGTCCCGGGTTCCTGCCTCTGGTGGACACGGGCCTTCCTTGGCAAACGCCCACCCTGAGGCGTAAACTGTGCCACCTCCTGCCAACCCAGCTGGCTGTGCACGGATCGACTGTAGGATGAGGGCCTCTCCCACACACCAGAAAGAGGATGCAGGGGCATAGAGCCTCGTTTCCTGTCTCCCGGATCGCAGCCAGTCTACACTGTGACTTACGGGATTTACAGAGAGCAATGGTACTAAACCCTCCCCAGGTTCTCGTCAATAATCACCAATGAGCACTGCATTTTACTTCTGTGGGCCCCGATGTCCCCACCTGGAGCCACAGGCGTTGGGAGGGTGAGCCTCTCTGAAGGGACCTCTCACAGAGCCCCACGTGGGCAGGAGCGGCCAGGGCTGCGGAAGATGCCGGGGCGAGGGGAGCCACTGCTGCACTAGAGCTTGAAATCTACACTCGATGACCTCATTGATTCTGTCTTGCTTTAAAAACCCCACAAGAACAGAAAACAACAACAACAAACGTGTTCTTACTTTGGAATAATTTAAGACTCGTAAGAATGTGCAAAAATAGTGTGGATGTTCCCAGACACCCCCGCAGCCAGCCTTCCGCAGTGAAACAGGTTACACAACCACAGCACGTGGCGAGACCAGCGTGTTGACACCGATGCCCTACCGTTACCTAAACGGCAGGCGTTAGGGTTTCGCCAGCTCCTACATGCGTAATGCCAGTGCCTGCACTTTTATTAAGCAGCTTATGAGTGAAATGCACTGTTTACCGCGTGGGGAATACAGAGATATCTGCTGGGTACATGTCACTGATTCATCAAATGCACAGCCCCTGGAATCTCACGCGAAGCGGTCATGGGAGGGTGAGTCTAAAGATGTGTTTGAAAAGTAGAATCAGAATGCTTTTTTCTACATTAAGGAAACACATACTCTTTCCAAAATTTTCTCATCAGTTTTTCAAAACAAAAACCATGTTGAGGCACCGGCTGCCTGAGGGCGCATACACGGTGCCCGCCGGGCCAGGGGCAGGGAACGGTGTGTCAGCTCCGGTGCCAGAGGAGCAGGCGCCTCCAGGACATCACGTGGCAGGAGCCGGCTCCACTGGCTCCAATGGGCTTTGTGACAGGAGGCTCCGTGAGGCCAGGGAGGCGGGGGGAGTGGCGCTGAATCTCAGGAGTCTCAGGGGGACAGGTCTCACTGGTCCTCAGGTTGTGAGCAGCCGCATTTGATGGATGGGGCCTTCGAATGCCTTCCTACATCAGAAACCTGGACCCCTATCCTTCGCTTGCGTGACCCCCAGGTAGCACCCAGGCTTTTCTCATCCTGCTGTGGCTGCTCCCTCTACCTGCTGTGACCAACGTATGCCACGACCCCGCCCGCTGAAACACATAAAAAGGCAACAGTGAAGGTGCTTCCTCCTCTCAGGACGCCTCCCAGAGGCCTGCACCAGAACCAACGTTCCTCTTTCCTCTGACCTCACAGAGCACACACACACATGCACACACGCATGCGCATGCATGCACACACGCACACACACACACACACACACACACCTGGGGGACAGACACTGCAGTCTAAAAAACAGTTCCCAAAGCATGTGGCTGAGCTCGCAACTGGACCAGAACCAAGGCTGACAATGAAGTTTTAAGTATTAAGATGATCTCCATCCGAGCTTCCTGGGAACCAAAGCAAAAAGGGAAAAGAATCACAGGCAGGTTCCTCTGGGACTGCAAAGCCCCAGGATGCAGAAATCTGTCTTTAACCCCCGCCCCCCAGCATTGTCTCATGCAAAGCCCCAGGATGCAGAAATCTGTCTTTAACCCCCGCCCCCCAGCATTGTCTCACACACGCTGGACCTTCAGTACGTGTAAGGAACGACTGAATCTTTAACAAAGCATCCTTTTGTCCCTGCTCACTGGAAGGTTCTAGGTAAAGTTGCCTCACATATAAGCTAAGTTTGGCTATACCCAAGGCCACACAGAAATGGCTGGCACACACCCCCAGCCTTGACTCTTGCCAAGTTAGCAACATTTCCCCCTTTAGTGCGATGCAGGCAAAGCCTCCTCGCTCCTTCTCGGGCACTGGCAGCCCCTTATTCAGTGGAGCAGGAACCTTGCTGTCACAGGTCACACGCTGCCATCACAGCCTCATGAAAGTGGAAAACGCTCGGCTCAGATGCTCTGTCATATACACGGTCGGGGGAGGAAAAAGAGATTTTCGGCTAAACCAATTTTCATAGGCACGAATGAAGTCTCACCCACAAATCCCAAGCTAGACCTTTTAGGGGGAAAAATAACACACATTTCAAGTTCTGTGAGTCTGTTGCTAAACGCAGGGGCTTCGTTAGCCTGCGTTCAGAAACATTCCTATCAGTACTTCCTAGGTCTTTCTTAATCAGCAACACCACCTCCGTCACCATCACTGTGCAGTGTGTTAAAAATAAACCCCTGGACCACGCTGCACCAAATGTTGATGCTGTGCGGCTCTTAAATTTCCTAGTCTTTTTTTTTTTTATCATATATCATATAGGTTTCAGGTGTAGATTTCTATGATACAAGATCTGTATATTATGCCATGTGCCCACCACCCGGAATCAAATCATCTTCCATCTTCATATATTAGGCCCCCTTCACCCCCTTCAACCCCTCCCCTCCACATGTCTCTCTTAAAGGACCCAAATGGCTGTCATTGAAGGCTGGAGTTCAGATTTTGAGTTTCTGGACAAGTCTGTTTTGAACGGCGGGGGGTTAGGGGAGGTGCCCTGCGGTGTGATTTCCGCAACCGCCCAGAGCTCCGTGGCTCCTTCAAGCTGCTCCCTCTGAACACCAAGGGAAATTTCCCCCACATTCGCCATCTGACGTGTCCTCATGAATCACGCTTGCAAGCCAAGCCTGGGTCTAAATGTCACCCATGTGCTGACTACACAAGCAACACCAAAAAAACACTGCTCTCAGCGGAATCTGGCAACATTCCTGTGATGTTAAATTTCGTGGGAAGCAGGTTTGTATGCGTGTTTTGTTTTTTTTAAGTCTCTGCTTTTTTAAATTCCTACTTAAAATTTTTTGTTAATGTGAGACTATTACCCAAACCAGATCATATGAGCAGGGTGATTTTATGTGACTTGGGTACCATTATAGTTATTACACTGGATGGCATGCACTGAGCCAGGTGCCTACTGCCCGCCTCGGGCTCCTGAATCAGCCCGCTGACCGTTCGGGCTCGGGGAGGGCACTTTGCCTTTGATTACACTGGTCTCATTGCATGTTGCCTGTTCCAAGAAAGAACTAAAGAACTTCCATGTCCGGTGACAGCTCACTTTTGCTCTTAATGTAGCCCTGTTTTATTCTCATGA